AAAAAAGGGCTTGTGTCGCTAAAGTTTCATCGGAACGAATTTACGGAAAACTAACTAACGAACGGAGACGTATCAGGTAGTTAGCTTACTACAGATCTAACTTGATGTTCTGTAACCAATAAAAAATATTGGTAAATTGGTGTTAAAGTTCGATTCTTGATCAAGTTTTGATGTTCTGTAACCAATAAAAAAGCATGGTAAATTAGTGTGAAAGGTTGATTCATAACCTAGTTTTTATGTTTTGTAACCAATAAAAAAGCATGGTAAATTAGCGTGAAAGGTTGATTCATAACCTAGTTTTTATGTTTTGTAACCAATAAAAAGCATGGTAAGTTAGTGTTATAGGTTGATTCCTGATCTAGCTTTGATGCTCCATAAGTAATATAAATGGCTGGGTAAATTATTTTAAAAAAATTGATTCATAACCTGGTTTTGATGTTCTGTAATTAAAAAAAAATGCTGGGTAAATGAGTGTGAAAGGTTAGTTCCTGACCTAGTTTTGGTGTTCTGTAACCAATAAAAAACCATAGTAAACTAAAGTGAAAGGTTGGTTAATGACCTAGTTTTGGTGTTCCTTAACAAATAAGAATGCATAATATATTAGTGAGAATGGTTGATTCATGACTTAGTTTTGGTGTTCTGTAACCAATAAAAAAGCATGGTAAAAAGGTTGATTCTTGACTGGTTCTGTGGTAATAAATTTTTAAAAGGCTTAGAATTAAATAACTCAGTTCTGTTTTATGTATATTTTTAGTGCTAATTGTACATGAAAGTTGTGAATCTGTTGGAGATGAGTTACTCGTTCCCTAAGTTTTAAGATCAAGTCAGCTGTAAATAGAAATCTCCACTTTTTGTGGGGCTTACACAGTGCAGAAAGGTATATTTAATCATAGTTAAACACAAGCTTTAAATTCAATTTAGTTGTAAGTATTAAAAAAAGAAATGACAAACCTTTCTTCAAACATGACCTTTTTCTACATTGGTGTCTTGTCAGCACTTTAGATATGGGAGAAAATGTTTGAACTTGATGTACATAAGTTGTTCCATTGTGAATATTACATTTTTAATGTTCATGTTGTGCATCAAAATGCACAAAGTTTTTACTGTTTTATATAGCATGTTTTCATTTTATGGTAATAAGATTCTGTCCAGTAGATATCTTCAGGATATATGGTTTTATCTAAAACTCTGTTTGTAATAAACTGCTTATTTAGAGCCTCAGAGAAACTTCATCATCAGCGAGCCAAGGAAAGGAGAGAGCAGTTGAAACAGGTGCGAGCCCACATGCAGAAAGATGAGGGTCGGATTCAAGCCTGTGGCTGGAGTGTTCCTAACAAGACTTTAGAGGACGAGCAGACCTCAGGCTTTCCTACAGAAACTCCTGTTCCTGTTCCAGTATACTGCCGACTACTTCAGGGCCAGGATCCTGGAATGAAAGTATGTGATTGAGTTTATAGTTCGTATTCTTTTTCTTTGTTGTTGTTTTAAGTTAAATAATTTTCAAAAATAATCTAACCCTTTCATCATCTGCATTTTGTAGCCACAGTTTCTGCATTAGAATGCATTGTTTCTGACTTGGGTGCCATATGGTCCAGTACCTTATAATAGTTCCCCAGTGGTTCAGTGGTAAGTCTGTGAGCTCACACTGCAAAAATAGGATTTTGATACTCGTGGTGGGCACAGCACAGATAGCTCCTTGTGTTGCTTTGTACTTTACAACAAACAAAATCTTATAATAATTAATAAAAAAAGTAATCATTAGCTTATGTTGTTCCACATATTATATTTAAAATAATATAGGAAGGTATAGATAAATTATGTTAGCCACATATTATATTTAAAATAATATAGGAAGGTATAGATAAATTATGTTAGCCACATATTATATTTAAAATAATATAGGAAGGTATAGATAAATTATGTTAGCTACATATTATATTTAAAATATTGTAGGAAGGTATAGATAAATTATGTTAGCTACATATTATATTTAAAATAATATAGGAAGGTATAGATAAATTATGTTAGCTACATACATTTGTGTGATATCTACATAATGGGAAGATGTAGTAAATTATTGATTGAAGCAGCATTTCACTACTTAAAGCAATCTAAATTTTTAAATATAACAATCAGGGTTCTATGACAAAAAAAGCAATTTATTCCACAGTAATAACATTTAGAGATAAATTAATAAATTACCAAATACAGTTAACTCTCTCGTTGTGGGCATCCTTTACTGTGTATGTCATGTGATTTTTAGTGATTTGCATGTAAAATTTAATTAAACTGCTTTTTTGTTTATGTTATACCGATTAGTATAGAATAAAATTCTACCTAATAATCCATATTTTAATGGTATATAAGTTCTAAGTTCTTAATTTTTGAAGGCAATATTAAGAAAAATCCTGAATTACCCCTAGTGTGAGAAATGTGACGTTTTTTCTCTAATGTATTCACTACCCCTCCAATAAGTATGAAATTTAATTTAAATTACTCATTGTAATATTGCCATCGCTCAGACAAACCATAATTTTTATAGTGTTCAATTTTGTTTGGTTACAGAGCCATCAAATAGAAAATCAGACCCCTCTTGCAATACCCACTTATCACATCCTCTCTTTCATGATTTGTTAATAGTTCCCTCTTACGTTTAGTACTATGTTATTCATAACCAATAGAAAGCCAAGAATTTCATCTGTCAAATGATGTATTATATTACATTGTTTTCTGCACAGAGAATTGTCAACTTCTCTTCCAGCAGTACAAGTTTTGTTCCCATGGGAAACATATCAATTAGTCGCGTAGTTAGAAAGCCAGAAAAATTGTGATAGTTATCGCCATTGTTTTCTTTTTGTATGTTATTATTCTATGTTCTTTGGTGCATTATGTAATTAAATAAAAATTATTTAGTGCACTAATACCATTAGTATAACAAAAATAGGGTTAAGTGTCATTGACAATCAACAGCAAAAAAAAAACGCCAAGTAGTTCATTTTTTCTTTATTTATTATTATTGTTGTTCATACTTAATGTAATTTGATATCATAACATGAGCTGCATGGTCCCCAAGTGATTTACAACTTGTAATGGCACAAATAGTAGTTAGACTTGGTTCAAAGGGCAACAAAACAATAAAATTTGAGTACAAATATATGTATATGGTTATGAGTTAAAAGCTATTTAGGATAAACAAATGTAGTTTCATGTTACAATTTGAAGTCATTCTAGAAAGAAATAAGTGGTAATTTAGATTTATTTCAATTTTTTTTTGGTGGTTACAGTTAGCTAGATTGAAGTCCAGTACACACCAGTGTCAAAGATAAAGAATATGAGATAAGAATAATTTTTTAAATTCATTATCAAACCTCAGAATGTTTTTGTAAAAGAAAAACAATAAACATGTCAGTATTACCTATAATGATGAAAAACAGTATAACAGGCAATTATTATTTAGCTTAGATTGTATAGGATATAACAAAACCTTAATAAATGTTAGATTATTTGCAAAGTACATTTGAAGATTATATTCTTGAAAGAAGTCTCTTGTTTCTCAAACTACTTTAGTAAATAACTGTATTACTAAATGATGACATTAAGGCTGGAGCCACGAATATCCCAAGGTAAATAACATTCTCTACCTGCAACTGCACTATAACCAGTGAGAAAGTCAAAGAATCAGACTGTAGATTGGATCCACTTGTATAAATCAGAAAATAGACACAATTACAATAATGTAGTAAAATTATAGAAATATATTACCCTCATATATTACTCCATAGTAAGTAATAAAACCTCTCTGACCTTATTCTTAAAAATAAAGTAATTCAACTTACAAAGTAGAAAATAGAAACTTAATAATTTATCACTGGTTTTGTGTGCTAATAATATATATTTTACAAAACATAAGATGAAAACAAAAAGAAACTTCAATTATAAGTGGGTGATAAAATCAGAACTGCATAACATTGATGAAAACACAATACACATTAAAAGGAATAAGAACACTGATAAAGTCATTGCTCTAAAGATATAAAACTGTTCTTTTAGCAGTAAAGAAATATTGGAGATATCCTATTGAACTGTTACCTACCAAATATAGATGAGGATCCAGTATAATTACAACAGGCATATCCTGTATTGCTTTATTGTAGGATATCCTATTGAACTATTACCTACCAAGTATAGATGAAGGTTCAGTATAATTACAACAGGCATATCCTGTGTTGCTTTATTGGAGGATATCCTATTAAACTATTACCTACCAAATATAGAGGAGGATCCAGTATAATTACAACAGGCATATCCTGTATTGCTTTATTGGAGGATATCCTATTGAACTATTACCTACCAAACATAGAGGAGGATCCAGTATAATTACAACAGGAATATCCTGTATTGCTTTATTGGAGGATATCCTATTGAACTATTACCTACCAAACATAGATAAGGATCCAGTATAATTACAACAGGAATATCCTGTATTGCTTTATTGGAGGATATCCTATTTAACCAGTATCTACCAATACAGGTGGGGAACCAGTAGATTTACAACAGTCATATCCTGTTTTTTTGCATCTATATTATATTCTATATATTTATAAATGCTAGGATGACTCTTCTGTTAGTTAATTACTTGTTAAGTTGGTGACCTACCTGCATTAGAAGACTAAATTTGTGTTGAAAATTGTCTAATTACAATCTGTATGACATTTTATCTATCTTGTCAATTTTACTTTGTTAGTTTAACATAATTGATTATTTGTTTTATAACATTTACTTTCTACCTACAGATATGGTGTGCTGTTGGAATAAACCTAACTTGTAGTAAGAGTTATATCTCTAAATCAACAATCATACCGGCTTTAGAAGCTGAGAAGGAGTCAATCAAAGAAGCTGAAACTCTCTTTAGTGATTCTGAAGAGGTAAGTCTAATTGATTAAGACCCTTTTGTGCTCAAACTAATGATTGGTATTTTTCATAATAATACATTAACAAACATTAATTCTGTAAGTACACTGATATTTATTGGAGATAAAATACTATGTGTTTCAACAGTACTTGGGTCTATCATCTTTACCCGAAAAAGATATACAATGGTGTGTCAAAACATATTATATATGTTGTACAATAAATATCACTGTGCTTATAAATTATGATGTTAATTTAATATCCCATTAAGATAACTTGCTTCCTCATGCAAGGTAGTATTTGAGATCTGTGTAATTCATATTGTCCATGATCCATATTATTTGTATTATCTGTAGTGTTTGGTATTATTCATGGTCTATGTTAATTAATGGTATCTATAACCTACATTATTTGTATTATCCATGATCCATATTGTAAAATATGTAATCCATATTGTTTGGTATTATTCATGGTCTATGTTAATTAATGGTATCTATAACCTACATTATTTGTATTATCCATGATCCATATTGGTAAAATATGTAATCCATATTGTTTGGTATTATTCATGGTCTATGTTAATTGATGGTATCTATAATCTACATTATTTATATTACCCATGATCCATCTTGGTATAATATGTAATCCATATTGTTTGGTGTTATCCATAATCTGTAGTGTTTGGTATTATTCATGGTCTATGTTATTTGATGGTATCTATAATCTACATTATTTGTATTACCCGTGATCCATTTTGGTACAATATGTAATCCATATTGTATGGTGCTATTTATCCATAATCTATAGTGTTTGGTTAAATCTAAAAAACAGTCAACAATTACGTAATTTTATTGGTGGACACACCCTTCTAATGACTTTTTTAAACTAATTTTTAATAATTAAAGAATATTTACCCATGTCTGGTCAACTGATATTTAGAAACTTCAAGTATACCTGGTGTACTAACACTTCACTCATTTAAATAATTACAAAGTATTCTATCAAATCAATGACAAAAATCAGGAGAAATTTTTTATGCGAAACACATTTCATATTACAAAATTTTTTTCTGCAAAACTTTGTACACAACTAGATATTTTATAAGTATAATGAAACAGTATTTTGACTAGATTTTTCTTAACCTTCTTGCAACAGGTAAGTCAAAGTGTGCATGTCATGATGTTTAAGAGATTTACATTCAAAATTTAATTAAAGTACTTTATTATCAATATATACAAATAAATGTAACATCAAAATGAAGTTAATGAACCAAATTTTAATGTTATATAAGTTTTAAGCTCATTATTTTACAAGTAAATATTTCAAAAATCCTCATTCTCTCCTAGTATGAGAACTGACACATATATTCTTTAGGTCTTCTATTTTCTCTTATTTACCACCCCTCTGAAACGTATGGAATTTAATGTAAATTACTCATTATAAAATAGATATTACAAGGCAAGGTATAATTTTTATAGCCTTCAATCTTATTTGTTTACGTAGCCATAAACTGGAAAATCAGACCCACCTGCCACATCCTCTCTTTCACAAATTGCTAGTAGTTCTTTCTGATGTTTTATACTAACATGTTTACAACCAACAGAAAGCCAAAGTTTTAATTTATGAAAGGACTTATTATGTTGTTTTTTGCACAAAGAATTGTCTATTTCGCTTCCAGTTTGAAAATTTTACTTTGGTGTTCATATCAACAATCTTAACTAAATTTTTAAAGGCTTTTATCACATAGATAGAAAACCAGGTAAATTATGATAGTTATAGGACATTGTTTTCTTTGTGCATGTTATTATTCTGTGTTCTTAGGTGCATTGTTTAATTAAATAAAATTATTTAATATAGTGGCATTATCAATATGAAAAAGTAGACTTAAGTTTCATTGACAGTCAACTGCAAAAAATAAAATGACCCAGAAAGTATATTTCTTGTTTTTCATCTGCATTATTTATTTAATATTAAAGTAACTAAAATGTAAAAATCAGAAACTTATTAGGTTAGATTAGGTAAAATAATGAAAAATAATAATTCTTCACAAGTTATACTAGGGAGCAGCTCATGCGTTGTGTAATTTGATATGATAATGTGAGCTGCTTTTTTGCTGAGTGATTTACAACTTTTGTGATGGAATTATTAGTTAGACACAGTTCAAAGGACAATATAATAATAAAATTAACCATAAACACATATATATTTTTTTCTCTTCTTGCTGGTTCTGTAATACAATCAGCATGTTTTAACATTTTATTAGATTTGTCTACTTGATTATAAATATGTTTTAACATTTTATTAGATTGTTCTACTTGGTTATCAGCATGTTTTAACATTTTATAGATTGGTCTACTTGATTAT